TTAAAAATTGTGTTTTGATTTGTTGCTTTGAATTCATTATATTTCACTTATATGATGATATTTATATGTTTGTGCTTATGGATCATCTATTCGTGCCTTATAATGTATTCTATGAGTGGTTTGATCAAGTTATACAAAGAAAATTTTCTTTTTTGATCAAACATTAATTTTGGACTCAAATCTTGATTTATGATTTCATTTGAGTGATTTGTTTTCATTTGAAAACTTTTTTCATGGGACTCAAATCTTGATTTATGATTTCATTTGAGTGATTTGTTTTCATTTGAAAACTTTTTTCATGGTTCCCATGTTTTCCTTGTTCATTTGTTTTCATAAATTTATTCATACATGGTTTTTATGTTTGAGTAATGAGATATTATTTCATAATGACATATCAATATATGTTCTCATTGTCTTGTTTGTATGTGGGTTATATTTAGCATATCTTTCATTTATGCTTACTCACATGATTTTGCCTTAGCATTCATTATATATATCCATTAAGGCATTTTGGTAGGGGAGCAATCCCTATACTCGTTTTATACTCACACATGCTTATTTGTAGGGGGAGCTTTCGCTCTCTTTATCTTTTATCCCCTTTTTGATGTTGTTAAAGGGGGAGAAATATTGTGAGTATATTCTTTTTGTTTATATGCATGATAATTATAATATTGTATATTCATTTCCTTTCATGTATATATCTTTTTGTAAATTATTTGTCATCATCAAAAAGGGGAAGATTGTTAACCTTCTTGTTTTGATGATGATTTACAAATAATTTATTTCTAATGTTGTTTATCTAGTGTTTGTGTTTTTGTATCAATTGTAGACAAACAATAAGTTGGAGGATGGATGGAATTGCGCTTCAACGATCATATCCAATAAAGGTTGGCGGAATAGTAGGTGAAACCTTGCAATTCATGCTCAAGATCCAAGTTCAAGCTTCATCCGTGAGTTTACCAAGTTAAGCTACAATGAAGATCAAGATCAATCTTGGGTAACATTAGTTTAGGTTTATATTATGTGTGTTGGTACTTTAAGCTCAATCATATATACACACACATTATATTGGTTTCCTTGTGTGTGTGTATATATATATATATATATATATATATACACAATTTAATTTTGGTATATATAGGCATATGTATACATACATGTTTTTGTTTCCAAGTTTATATAAATATGAAATTACATCTTTCATATTTATTGTTTTGGTTTTTCAAGTTTAAATATGAAACAATTGAATATAATTGGAAAATACATTTTTATTTCATGTTTATATGCTTACATATGATTTCATCAATATCAATTTTATTTAGTTTAATGAAATCATGTTTATTGTTTTGAAAGTTTGCAAAACAAGTATTTTTATGAAAATATTTTTTTCTTGGTTTATAGACTTAACAATAATCATATACATATTTTATTAAGTCTACAAAATAATTTTTTAAAGTTTCAAAATACGGTTTAGCCAAAATGTCAAAATGATTGTGTTCACGTTTTCATGTTCTAGACTATTTTGTAAAATAATGATATTTCTCATTTGGGAGGTCCTTTTTAAAAACCAAATTTTGTAACATGTTTATTATCATGTCTACAATCATTTTTCAAAGTTTTATATTTTTTGGAATTTATTTGATATTTTTAAACCCAGTTTAAAATTGAGTTTTTCTGTGCACTTCAGGTCTGTGCATGTTTAGTCGTATTAGTTGACTCATGAGTCGACTCATAAGTCGACTCACGAAGGGCAACGAGTTGTGATTTTTCTTCTGCTGAGTCAACTTATATAAGCCGACTCATTAGTCGACTCATAAGTCGACTTATGAAAGAGCCGTTGCACAGTAACAGCTAGTTTCCAGTAGTGTTTTCTGGGGGGTTTTGGTCTTTTTTTTGGGTATTTTGCTAAAGTTTTGGGTTCCTATAAATACCCCATTGGTCTCATTTTTCAGTTTAATCTAAGATAATGTTTTAAGAAAGTTTAACAAGGGTTTGAAGTTTGTTTAAGTTTTTTTAAAGGTGTTTAAGCATTGTTTAAGAGTTTCGTTTGTGAAGATAATTTCACAAGGGCTTGAGGAGATATCTTTGGTGTTTGAGCTTCAAATCATCTCTCTCTCACTCTTGTCATTTATTGGAGAAGTTTTCTAAACTCAATCTAGCTTTACATTTTATTGTTTGATTATCATTTTATTAAGCTAGTGTTTATATTGAGTTTAGTTAATTTTATTTATCTCTTTGTACACACACAACCATTGAGCTTATTGTATTTTCATACTTAGTATAATTTGGGTTGTGAGATTGTATGACTTAGAGTGTGAGCTTACATTGTGTTCTCATCCATTGTAGAGAACAAATTTATTTGTAATTGTATCTAATTGTGAGGATAACTTTGTAATACACTTATACACCGAGAGAGAGTGTGTGGTGAGGACGGAGTCGATACCGAGAGGAGTGGCGTCAGTGGCCTAGTGAGAGGTGATAATTCCGAGCACTTGAAGGAGTCCATACGTGAGGACCAACACTTGAGGTTGTAGCTTGTGTATGTACTTTGTGAGAATTTGTGAGAGTTTTCGGTTGACTTGATAACCGAGTGTGTAGAGTTTTCAGTTAGCTAGAAAACCGAGTGTGTAGAGAAGTTCCGGCTTCCAAACTGGGTTGTGTAGTTGATACTCCCCGGGAGTTGGGAGCGGAGACGTAGGATGGAAGATCCGAACTCCGTGATCATTTCCTTGTGTTTGGGTTTGGCATTGGCGCATTTATTCTTGCATATTGTTATATCACCATTGTTGCATGATCATATTATTTACCCTAGTTTATATTATATATCCTTGCACATATCTTGTAGCATATCATACTTGCTAGGATATATTTTAGTAAGTTTTAATTAATATTTAAATCGGATTAGATTAGCATAAACCCTATTCACCCCCACCCCCCTCTAGGTTTCTTTCATAGCGACCTTAGGCTTTAACAATAGTAACAATAGGGCCTGCACTTCGTCATCAAACATGATGTCTATGGAGATAAGCTGATCAACAATTGTGTTGAACTCGTTAAGGTGCATCGTGAAGGACCATCCTTCTGCCATCTTGAGGTTGAAAAGAGTTTTGACGAGATGCACATTGTTTGCTACTGACGGTTGCTCGTATATCTTCATGAGCGCTTCCATAAGCCCCGTCTTATCCTTTAATATGTTGTGGGCTACTGATTTGGCGAGCGATAACCGGATTTGCCCTAGAGCCTTCCTATCCAGTATCTCCAGTCACCATCTGACTCCTCTTTCTTCTGTCCCTTCTCCTTGACCATCAACGGGCGATACAAGTCCTTCTGGTACAGATAGTCTTCCATCTGCGACTTCCAGTAGGCGAAGTCTGAACCGTCAAACTTCTCGATCTTTGACTTGTTTTCCTCTGCCATAGCTTTCACACAAATTGCTGAACGAAGCTCTAATACCAGTTGTTGGGGATTTGAAACAATCAATCGAATCCTTGCCTTTCCAGACCTTTTGTTGAAAGTAGGAAAGTGAAAAATTCACCGCAAATAAAGATCTGACCTTGTAAAAGAGTAAATAAGACGAACACACAGATTTAACGAGGTTTGGCAACGTGCCTACGTCATCGGGAGCCACACCACACAATTTTTTTATTAATTGAAGAAGAAATACAAGCTCTCAAACTAGGGTTTAATCTCTCTGAGATTCTCTCTCTCTTTCTGCAGTTAAAAACTCTCTTTTTCGTGTTCTTACAAACCCTAAAAATCGTTTAAGGTATATATAGAGTCCTGGTAGAAACATAATCCAAAATAGTTTAGGAAACTGGCTGACTGCGTCGCTATCGACCGTGACGGTCGACCGCTCAAGTATCGCGGTCGATCGCGGAGATCGACCGAACCAAAACCCGAGACCAAAACCAATTACAGAGATTTGTGTGGTCGACCGCCGCGGTCGACCGCCGCGGTCGACTGCCTTCGGATCCAGCTCCTCCTGAGCCCTTGTGCCTGTTCGCGGTCGACCGCTGAAGACTCGCGGTCGACCGTGGATCTGTCCGCTTGTTTTCTTCGTCGTTTTGATTCCAGCTCTTATCTCGACTTTGGGTCTACACTTTAGACTAACAGCTTTTACTTCTTCCCCAATTGGCCGCATTTATTAGCACTCCATTGCATCAAATTTTGATTTGTAACTCTAATCTTTAGTTGTATTTCTTCCCAAGAATCCTGCAGACTCTAGCTTCCCTAACTCCTATCGACAACATCAGCACATTCATCATCTTAACTCCACAGTGCGTCGAACCGAAAGGGTCTGTTCTTCCTTGAATTATTTATCCCATATCTACAAGTATGGGGTTCATAATTAAGTAAAAATTGTATTGCATAGTGATCACTCGAGAATGCTCTACACGTGTCACTTCTCAGTTTATAATTTGAGAATAAGTTGTTCCAATTGAGAGTGGCTAGAAATCGATCCAATCTTTCTCGAACTAAATTTCCATCTTGTTGGTTGTTGCTCCAGATGAAACCATTCCCTTCATAACCCAAGTCAAAAAATTGACAATCATTTATCACCTCCTTAAAAGTCTACTTTTTTTTCCTCTTTTCTACATTTGATACTATCTCATTAAAATCACCACAACAAAGCCCAGGCAAACAATGACTTCCCGTCACTAGTAGAAAAACGACCAAACTAGACGGAACAACCTAGACGGAAAAAAATTCCGTCTAGTTTGGAGCAAACTAGACGGAAAATTTCCGTCTAGATTGTTCCGTCTAGTTTGGATCAAACTAGACGGAAAATTCTGTCTAGTTTGACAAACGAGACGGAACAGTCAACCTAGATGGAATTCCGTCTAGGTTGAGGCAACCTAGACGAAAATTCCGTCTAGGTTGCCTAGGGCAAACTATCAAGTTTGCCAGCCACCCCCCTCCCCCATTTCTCTCTCAACTCTCTACTCTCCCCCTCCTTCCCCTCCCACCCCCCTCCTCCGCCCCGCCACCGCCGGGCAGACCTCTCCCCCTTCCGACCCCCCATCCTGGCGCCTCTCCCGAGCCCCATCCACGTCGCCGCACTTCTCAGGCCCCCTTCCCATCCATCCCCTCTCTCCCCGGCTCTCACCCCGCCGCCCCTCACCGGTGCGCTCGGAGGGCCCCCGCCCCCCTCCCGACCCCTCCTGTAATGCCCCTTCCCCGAGCCACCATCCCGCCGGCCCCGAATACCGACCGCACCCGCCTCTCCGGCTCCTCCCAGCTCCTCCGGCTGACCCCTGCCCCTCGCCGCCCCCCGAGCCTGCCGGACCCTCCTCACCGCACCCACCCCGAGCCCCCATCCTCCGCTTCCTCGATCCCCTCCATCCCCTCCGGAGACCCCCTCCCCTCCCTCTCCCCCTCGCAGCCCCGCATCCCCCGCCCATTCTCCCCATTTGGAAGCCCTCCCCTCGTGAACCTCCCCTCCCCCCATCGACAGCCCTCCACCCAAAATCGCAGGCCCCCCTCTGCCGCCACCCCGGCCCCCCGGTGCTGTCCGTTGTTGAATCAGTTTAAAAGGTTGGAATTTTTCTCTGAGCCTTTAAAAAATTTAATTTTATTATTATTTTGTGAAGTTTGGTTTAAACTAATGATATAAAATAAACGAGTTTAAATTCTGAAAACCCTAATCAGCTAAATGTTAATTCAGTTGAACAACATCGAGTAATCATTATTGAGTTTTAAACATTACGAAGTTATACTCATTTAAGTTTCATCTCGTGGCTATTAAGTATGGGTGTGATTATTTATAGTTTGTTGATGCTGAAAATTATGTAAAATACTTTTTTTTAAAAATAGAGTGATTATATATACACCTTATAATTGTTTATTAGATGTGTTATAATCCAAGTTTAGTGAATAAAAAAATAACGTTATCCTAGACTTTCGTCCAACCAATTACAGTCCAATTATTTGGACTTATAATATACATTGAATACGACTCAGATTTGGGTAGGAGACGAAGTTTTCTCCCGAAAATGAGCGTTTATTTTATATTATACGAATAAAAAATTAGTACTAAAATTCGTAATTATTGGATCTGTCCTTCTCAGACGGGTTAGGAATATAGTAGTGCATACATCCAACTTTGTATACTTTGTATATTTTCATTCTTGAAAGTTTTGGCAGCACTTATTCGTTGTTCTCCGTGTACAATAAGCGTATGTTGTTCTGCGTTTCAGGTTATTACTGATACGCATAATAACATCCGCACAGTGTACAGGGAGAACAACGGGTAGGTGCTGCCAAAATTTTCAAGAAATGAAAATATACAAAGTATATGAAGTTGGATGTAAGCACTACTATATTCTTAATGGATAGAAGCCTTCCTATGACAGCCGCAAGATTAGTGTAATTAGTTTTTACGTATGTTTTATATATATTTTATGTAGATAAATATTCATATTGTTAAATGATATATGAACGTATGTTTGATGTGTGTTGAATGTATAAGAGTAATGGATGTATTAGTAGTTGTGAGACTAATCGTATTTAATATTTATATATAATTTACAGATGAGGATAATTCCTGACAAGTCATGGATAGATATCCCTAGGTATCGTAGATTTCACGACACACGATACAAGGAGGGATGTGAAGCCTTCATGCGTTATGCGGAAATGAATCCGAGAAATTTAAGAAGCGGTGCTATGTACTGTCCTTGTTGTAGGTGTAGGAATTTGAAGCTGCTGAATAGAAATGATATACGGATTCACCTAATAAAATCAGGTTTTGATGAGAAATATAAATACTGGAACTGGCATGGGGAAGGTATCACTGAAGATGAGGATCCAAATATGCATGTTGGTACGTCCGGTGGCCAACGAATAGATGACACAGAAACATTGTTGAATGATATTTTTCCTCGACCTACAGAATATGATGTTGATGATAATGTCGAGGATGATATTGGAGACAAAAGTGAAGATGATAACGAAGTTGATGCCGAAGAGGTAGGAGGTGTCGCTAGTGTCGAAAATATTGATGATATGCATTCCTCCGCAGAAATAAAGCGAATAATAGAGCTACTAGAAGATACTGAAAAGGACTTATATGAGGGATGTACCGAGTACTCCAGATTTTCATTTATGCTGAAACTCCTTCATATTAAGACACTTAGTAGTATGTCAGAAAATTATTTTGAAATGCTTCTTGATTTGCTTCGGACTGTAATCCCTGGAGGAGAGAATAGCATACCCCAAACAACTTATCTAGCTGAGAAGATTATCTCTGCTCTGGGTCTTGATTATAATAAGATTGATGCATGTCCGAATAATTGTATTTTGTACCACAAAGCCAATAAAGACCTTCAAGAGTGTCCGACATGTGGAGTTTCTAGGTGGAAACAGCGCACAAATTCTTCAACAAGGATTACAACGGAGACAGTGATAACACAGAAGAAAATTCCAGTCAAAGTGCTTCGACATTTTCCATTGGCTCCTAGATTGCAAAGATTATACATGAACAAGGAAACGACAAAGAATATGAGGTGGCATAAGGATGATCGAGTAGACGATGGTAAATTAAGACATCCTGCTGATGCTTTAGCTTGGAAGCATGTTGATAAAATTTATCCTCGTTTTGCCGAAGATTGCAGAAATGTAAGATTGGGTCTATCAAGCGACGGATTCAATCCATTTGGGGTAATGAGCTCTGGCTGGTCTACGTGGCCAGTTGTATTAATGCCATATAATTTACCTCCATTGCTTTGTATGAAACAGCCGTTTATGATACTTTCATTACTGATACCCGGTAAGCATGCTCCAAAAAATGATATTGATGTCTACTTAGAGCCTCTAATTGATGAGCTAAAATAATTATGGTCTGAGGGTATTTTAGCATATGATGCCCATTTAAAAGAGTCGTTTAGATTACGTGCTATTCTACTATGGACGATTAATGATTTTCCAGCTTATGCTAATCTGTCAGGGTACTCTACGAAGGGCAAGTGTGCTTGTCCTGTATGTGGTCCAGAATTTGAAGCTATTCAATTACCACATAGCCGAAAGAGTTGTTATTGGTTTAATCGAAGGTGGTTGCCCTTGAGTCATAAGTACAGAAAATTATCAGCTAAGTTTGATGGTACAGTTGAGAAAAGAATGAAGCAGCATCAACTGACAGGTACTGAGATCGTTCAATTACTTGAGGGGTTTCCAAAAGTTGTGTTTGGGAAAAAACGCTATTCTAAATTTAACACGCTCGGAGTAAGAGATTACTTAAAGTTAAAAAAGCCATTGAAGCGTAAGCGAAAGGTCCGTAAAATGCAAGTTGAGGACGAAGCCCAAACATTACCTAGAGGATGGACTAAATTTAGTATCTTCTTTCAGCTACCTTACTGGCAGAATCTAAAAATCCGACACAACTTAGATGTTATGCATATTAAGAAAAATATATGTGATAACATAGTATCAACTCTCCTACAAGATGCAAACAAGTCGAAGGATGATCTACGGGCGCGCCAAGATCTGACTGCTTTGAATATCCGAAATGATTTGCAAGCTCAAGACGTTGGCCTTAAAAAATTAAAGTTGCCTCCGTCTCGTGTTACAATGTCAAATGAGCAGATGCAACGAGTTTGTGAAATTCTCAAATCGGTAAAGTCGCCGGATGGTTACTCTGCTAACATTTCAAATAATGTCCAGGTGCAAGAGAGAAAACTCTTAGGTCTGAAGACACATGATTATCACGTTCTTCTCCATCAATTGCTCCCTGTTGCAATCCGTAACAATATGGATAAAGAAGCGTCGAAGATTATTATTGAGTATTGTGGATTTTTCAGAAAATTATGCTCTAAAGTCATAGATGTAGATGACTTTAAGAAACTTGAAGCCGATGTCCGAGTTACTCTATGCAATATGGAAGTAATATTCCCTCCTTCATTTTTTACAATTATGGTCCATCTTACCCAGCATCTTGCAAGAGAGGCTAGAATCGCCGGTCCTGTTACTTATCGTTGGATGTATCCGATTGAAAGGTAATTTACGATTTTTCTTATATTTATTAATTGTATACGCGTTTTTCAAATTACCGTGCTAATAATTAACTTTTATGATTATAAGATACTTGGGCTGCATGAAAAACAATGTTCGCAATCGAGCTCGTCCCGAGGGCTCGATAGCTGAAGGATACGTGGCTAACGAATGCTTTGTGTTTGCATCACGTTACATGCGTAAGAAGAAAACCACATCTCAAGCACCTCAAAAGGAGAGGAAGCGTGAAAAATACCCGAGATCTCTCTTAGATCAAATTCATGCATATGTGTTGGAAAACCTTGATATGTTCGAAGACTATCGAAGGTAACAAATAAAATCTGTAATATAGATGAGAAATATTCATTTTACATATAGTTTATCAATACAAACTTATATATTGTTTATATAGGCGACATCTGGAGAAGCTTAAGAATGAAACAACCGGTAGGAATGCAGCGCACAATATTCAGAAAAGACATAAGAAAGAATTTTCTGATTGGTTAAGATTTGATGTAAGTGTTTTACAATTAATTATTGAACATTCATAATATAACATCGCCTAAATATTCTCAAATTGTTTGTCTTAGGTTGAAAAATCACTTCTTGATGATACTACATTACCAGATGAAATTATTATCCATGCACAACGTCCTTATCACGAAGTGAGACGTTATAATGAGCATTTGGTGAATGGATATAAATTTCGAACGTTAGAGACCGATGATAGGAGGGTAACTCAGAACAGTGGGGTCATGGGCTTGTTTGCCCAAGAATGTTTTTCAAGTATAAGAGATCAGAATCCAATTCTAGCTGACATATTATATTATGGCCAATTAGAAGATATCGTTGAGGTAATTTACGGGTTTGGTAAACCAAAACAATGTACTTACACGATGTTCAAGGTTCGGTGGTGTCCTGCAAAAAAGCAAAAGGATCATTATGGATTTACACTAGTCAATCTTCACCGAGAAGTATATACGGATGAGAAATTCATTTTCGCAGAACAAGCTGATCAGTGCTTCTATGTGAAAGATCCGAATGTCATGTATGATTGGGTGGTTTTGTACAAGGAGCCAAGATCTGTTGTTCTTCCTAATAACAATGAAAAAAATATTGAAGAAAGTGAAGATAATTATAGTGAACCAATCGGTTCATCTGATGATGTTTGGCAAGAATTCTCTTACGCACAGAATGTGGCGCTGGATGTAGGTATGAACTATATATGTTACACCACATTATCGATTTTTATCTTATCATAATAAAAACAATAATGCATTTCATAACAACATATCTCATGAGCATGTATACAATTTTTTCTTAACGATTGTCTTTATTATATTTGCAGATGAGGAGGAGGATGAGGAGGCTCTTTGACCTGGAGGGTGATCGCTCACGGAGTATCACCCCAGGTAGTGGTGCTGATGATCCACTACCATCTCCGGATGCAGGTATAAAAATTAA